CAATATTTCTGACAGTTTTCTCTGAATTTTTGCACTGAAATTATGCATTTTTATTTGATTTTATTTATATTAATATAATTAGATTTGTATATGTATAAAAAAAAATAAGAACACAGCTTCTCAGTCACAAATTCCTTACAAGTAAAACATACCTAAAAAAGAAAAAAAAATTACAATGAATAAAAAAGTGAATCTGTAATCATAAAACAAAATCATAAAAATCATATTGGCGGGTGGGAAAATGGGTGAATCAGGACTAGTGTTTGAATTTCAGCACTATCAAAGATTATGTTTCTTTCAAAGACCAACGGCCTCTGACTCTTTGAATAAGAAGTACTTAACTCATTCTCTCTGTGCTTCAAAATGTGTCCTTTTTCTACATTAGAGGCATTCCTGTCTCTACTCTTACCTACAAGGTTGGATTCCTTGCAGCCATCACCTTTGAAGGGCCAGTGTCTCAGCTAAATGCCTTATAATGCAAGGAAGCTATTAGATAGATAGATAGATAGATAGATAGATAGATAGATAGATAGATAGATAGATAGATAGATAGATACTAAAATTACAAATTCAGCATTTAAATGGATACATGAGCACAAAATAAATCTTAACATACTGAATGCAGTTTAAAAAACAAAAACTACAAGAACCTCTGCCTCTCACTTTAGGCCTTGCAGACTTTGCTTTTTAACAAAGAGAGTTGATGAAATGTAATAGCAGATATTGTAAATGGGAGGAAAAAGAAGCTCTTTGTAAGCTGAATTGTACTGCACAAGTATCCATGTGGAACATGTATCAGGGACAGGTGTCAAAACAAACTAGTGGGAGGGTGGCCAGTTTATGCTCTTAGGTTTTCTCGCTGCAGATATGCCTACATATTCCCCCTTGAGGAGGAAGAGAAGGAAAAGGCCATATTACAAGTCCATAAAAAGTGGTTCATATGTACCCTTGAGGAGGAAGAGAAACTTCCACTACACTACCTGGGTGGGATTTCAGTGCAAAGATGCAAGGGGCAAATAATAATAATGGCTGTTATGCTCCCATTACTAGAAATGTTGGGAGGAGCAGTCTGGTGCGGCGGCAGTAAATATACAGAGTCCAGTTGCAGTAACAGAACCTGTATTAACACCAAAGTTCAACTTTACAAACAAATATATATATATATATATAAAGTGCTAATATACTAAATAACACTAATAAATAAATAAATACTACTGTCCAAAAATTATATTGTCCACAATAGAAAATAAAATATAAATCAAATAAAATAAAACAGAATAGACAAAAATCCTCCAGAAAGACAGTCCGCAAAAAGGCTTCCAGCCGAATGTAGATCCAGTGATTATGGAGATCGAATCTCAAAAAAAGAGAGAGAACTCACATAGTGTGATACCATAAAAACGCATAAGGTAATATCAACATCACTGCAAAACGCATGTAAGGCCTTACCCTTTATGAATAAGTCAGGTGACGAAACATGTCAAAGGGAAGTGACGTCAAGACATGTTGAGTAACAGGAAGTTGCCAGTCGGCCATCTTGGATCCTGGAAATTCCATTCACAGACACAGGAGGAGTGTTTTCTGAGGATCTATGGAGGGCCTGTTCATAATTTTAATATGATGTGACATTTATGCAATAAAATTTATGTGGTATTGAAGAACTTCCTATTGCTGTTTGCGGTGGCATTATCCGGAGTCATTGAGAACATGACCGGATGAGTTTTTACATGAACTTTATCAGTATAATCTGCTCAGCTTTGGAGGGAATCTATATGGTAACGGAGGAGGAATTTCCCACTTGCTAAGTTTGAAAAGCCATTTTTGGATTGGGACTTACATGCTTGTTATATCCATGTTCTGGTAAGGGTGTTTTATCCTTACACTTAGAAGTGGACACGTGTTTACATGGTTTGCACACTGCATGAGAGTGTTTATAGCGGTTGGCACAGCTCACATTATACTCACCTGCATGAGTCACCACGTGTGGTTTAGTGTGATTCACATGCGTTTTGCAGTGATGTTGATATTACCTTATGCGTTTTTATGGTATCACACTATGTGAGTTCTCTCTTTTTTTGAGGTTCGATGTCCATAAACACTGGATCTACATTCAGCTGGAAGCCTTTTTGCGGACTGTCTTTCTGGAGGATTTTTGTCTATTCTGTTTTATTTTATTTGATTTATATTTTATTTTCTATTGTGGACAATATAATTTTTGGACAGTAGTATTTATTTATTTATTTATTATGTTATTTAGTATATTAGCACTTTATATATATATATATATATATATTATATATATATATATATATATATATATATATATATTTATATTTGGATGATACACTTTTTGGGGTGAAAAGTGTTTAGGTGCAATTGGGGAATTATTTAAAGGGTACACCGTTCATTTTTTGTTATTCAACTTTACAAACAGCCTGGTGGGAACACTCACAGGTTGCAACGGCAATTTAGAAAGGAGCAGGGCTAAGACGCACTGACAGCATCTGTCTCAGAGGGTGAAATTCAGCCTGGCCAGTCTGTACCCAAATGGAAGGATTCCAGAAAGGATATTGTATCCCTACTCATCTGTAACCTTCCTCTGCCACTACTCACTTTCCCTGTCAGACGGGTAACCTGTTCCTATACTACCTACCTTCAACATGTGCACCAAACCTGGGAGCCAGGGTACTAAATAGGCTATGCCTAACTCAAGATGGCCACCAGGGTCACATGGGGCATCAGCATCTAACCTGATAGCTTCCCAACCAGGAAATCATAGAAAAGCATTGTTCCTCTTGACTTCCTCTCCCTCTACTGTGCCGCTATAGTTGAATGCCACTTGCAGTGGAGAAAGTAGACTGCATCTGCCTATAGAGAGAGGAGGAGGAAAAGAACACATTAGTAGGCCACAAAAAGTTGTCTGTTATACATCCTTGAGAAGGACACATTAGCAGCACTAAAAAAATGGCTGCTATTTTCCCCTTGAGGAGGTGGAGTGCACGTCTTTTACTGCCAACTTGTTATAGAGTCATGTGTTTCCTCATGGAAATGGTTTTGCCACAGATGATCTGCTGCAGTCAGAGCCTGTACACTACAGAAGTGCTATCGGCAGCAGATACATTGTAACAGACACACACTACAGAGCTCATTCTATTTGTTGCCTAGTCATGTGCTTGTGTATTGTTCTGACACTAGACAATCTCTGAGAAACACATAACCGAAGTCTATATTTTGAACATTTTGGGATTTCTGGCTTGTTGCTGTCTTGAATAAAAGGATGGGAGGGGATTAAGGGGTTATCATTTTTTATATTTTAATTATTTTTTTTTCAAACTTCTAAGACTATATGATGTGGTGATGTGAAAAAAGAAGCTCTCAAGTTAGACTCTGAAATGGTTTTGCCACTGTTCAGTTGGTATGAAGTCAGCGGGTTTAGCTTTATTTTTTTAAGAGTACACTTTCCTATAGCTTTTAGATATGTCATGGCTTCTACTGCCATTCATTTCAGACATATTACCACTGCATAGAAATCAGATGTCACAGCTTAAACTATCTAGAAAAGCCATCTTTTCTATTTTGAAATGAATCAGATTGGGGTGCTGCTGTGTTTAAGCTAACCAATAATGTAAAGGTAAACAAATCAATTACACATGGAAATTATGTAATGCCAGAATAATGTGTTGCTGACGCTGTCTGATAATCTTACTGTTCCGTAAGAACACTAACAGCTGCTAGGAATTTCCCAAGCAAGTAATTGAAAGTATTGGTGTTTTTCTTATGTCACCTCTGAATTTGCATGAAATGGAGAACCATTTTCCTACTGTACATATTTTTCTAAAACTTTATGTTGGCTTGCATTGCAACATTTTCTCCAAAGTTTTTTTTATCAAGATGTACCCCCTATAGACTTCAATGGTTTAGATTAAAGTTTGCAATTTTAGGATTCTATGATGGGTTCAACAAACAGCCCACAAACCAAACCTAGGTTGGCTCACACATTCTTATATATATAAAAAGTCACAGAAACATTCACATAAACCCTTCATTATTTAAACCAGCCAAAGCCACAAAAAATACATTGGTAAGGGAATGTATGGATTATAATGTACAAGGTACAAGATGAGGGCTATGTATAAATCAGAGAATGTATGATTTATAATGTACAAAGTACAAGATGGGGGCAATGTATACATTTAAACTATTTTATAATGTCTTACTTGTTTTGTAAAAACCAAGCAAGAAACATTTTTTTTCATTCTTCAGGGTGCTTTTAGAATCTTCTGTACTGGAGCCCATCAAACATTTATTTAAGGTGCTATGATTTTTAGTTATGCATGAGTATATCATTTAACATTATCACTGAAAATTTTCTATAGATGACAAGTTGGCACAATGATCAGCAATGCACTCTCTTTTGTAAAGAAAGCTTTCTTAGATTTGGCTTTGCTTTCTGACTTGTTGCTCTCTCTCTTATAATTACACGTTTTGTGTACAACTCTGGAAAGATGTAAATTGATTTCTTTTTGGCTTTCTGGCTTGCTGCTGTCTGGTATGACCCACTTTGTGAAATCTATTAGGAAGTTGTCCACTCTTTTCTATATGCACAAGAGTTTTGGCTTGCTCTTCTCTCTTGGTATGACCCACTTTGTGATCTCTGATAGAGAGGTGTGAACTTGTTTCTTTGTCCATTCTTGGTGCTGCTGCCTTTTTATGGTTCGACCATGTTAATCAACTTTTTTAGAAGGGTGCCAGTTATTTATAGAAGTTAGGCAGGATGGCAATGGCTTACCTGCCCCGTGCATACCTTTTGAAACCATAAATAAATAGATATGCAGACCAGACAAGTTGACCAATTTAGTCCAGTTTACCATAAAGCTGTTCCCCTGATGGCACTAGCATATACTATATTGCCAAAAGTATTGGAACACCCCTCCAAGTCATTGGATTCAATGTTCCAATCACCTCCATGGTCACAGGTGTATAAAATGAAGCACCTAGGTATGCAGACTGCTTCTAAAAACATTTGTGAAAGAATGGGTCTCTCTTGGGAGCTCAGTGAATTCAAGTGTGGTACGGTGATAGGCTGCCACCTGTGCAATAAGTCCATCTGTGAAATTTCGTTACTAAATATTCCACAGTCAACTGTTAGTGGTATTATAATAAAGTGGAAGCAACTGGGAACAACAGCAACTCATCCACAAAGTGGTAGGCTACGTAAAATGACAGAGCAAGGTCCGCGCATAATGAAGCGCACAGTGCGCAGAAGTCGCAGAGTCAATAGCTAAAGACTTACAAACTTTGTGTGGCCTTCAGATTAGCACAACAACAGTGTGTAGAGAGCTTCATGGAATGGGTTTCCATGGCCGAGCAGCTGCATTCAAGCCTTACATCACCAAGTCCAATGCAAAGCGTCGACTGGACTGGACTGGACTTTAGAGCAATGGAGACGTATTCTCTGGAGTGAAAAAAAACACGTTTCTCTGTCTGGCAATCTGATGGACGTATCTGGGTTTGGCGGTTGCCAAGAGAACAGTACTTGCCTGATTGCATTGTGCCAAGTGTACAGTTTGGTGGGAGATTAATGAGTTTGGTGTGGGAGAACTTGACTGGCCTGCACAAAGTCCTGACCTCAACCCGATAGAACACCTTTGGGATGAATTAGAGCAGAGACTGCGAGCCAGGCCTTCTCGTCCGACATCAGTGCCTGACCTCACAAATGCACTTCTGGAAGAATGGTCAAACATTCCAATAGACACACACCTAAACCTTGTGGACAGCCTTCCAAGGAGAGTTGAAGGTATTATAGCTACAAAGGGTGGTCCAACGCAATATTGAACCATACGGACTAAGACTGGGATGCCACTAAAGTTCATGTGCATGTAAAGGTAGGCATCCCAGTACTTTTGGCAATATTGTGTGTATATATATATATATATATATATATATATAGATATATATAGATATACACACACACACACATATACACTGCATGGATATAAATCCCTCCCCTCCCTTTTAGATTGTAGGCTCTAACAGGCAGGGCCCTCCATTTCCTACTGTATTGAGTTGTAATTGTACTGTCTGCCCTCATATTGTGAAGCACTGCACAAACTGCTGGCACTATATAAATCCAGTATAATAAGAAGTAATAATTAAAAAATAATAATATGTATTGTATATACAGTATATCTATAGATCCACCCATAAAAAAGCTAAATTACCAAAAATTCTCATTGTGTTAACTGGCCAAATTCCAAGGTGTACATTCACTGGTGGAGATAGTTTGTGGTTCATTTTATGCAAGTTGGTAACAAAGCAAAATGTAATATTTTTTTTTATTGGTGCAGATGGATAATAACCACAAAGGCATGGTTGGTGAAAGACTCTGTGTCAGCTTCTATAGCCCTACATATGTCTAAAGTGCCAAATAGTGAATGGTGAGATCTTGTCATATTTGCATATGATCTAATTTGTAAAAAATGTGGAAGTGCTGTTATAGAGCCAAGTTTCAAAAGGAACAGACAACAAGGCAGAAAAACGAAACAATTCCATCAGTGATAATTGTACACAACGAGCAAGGAAATGCCAGAATGAGCAAAAGGAAAACAAAGAAATCCAATTAATTGAAGCTGTATACTTGACAAATTCAGCAATAAAAAACCATATCCATTTTCGAGCAAAGCTTATCATGGCTGGTAAAGCCAGGCTGTTGGCAACTTGTTTCTCATGTAGCTTAATCCCTTCAGAGCCAGTGAGCAATGTAACACATTGCAGAACAAACAGGCAGGGCAATCTGTGTTGGCAGTAGGGCTGCAGGCAGGTACCTCCAAACCCTTTGCTTGGTAAACATTGTAATCATGATAGGATTATCAGCAGCTGCAACCTAGTCGCTGACACCTTCCTTGTTGGAGTAGTGTGCAGCCATTCGTGTCCAATAACCTGTAGTCACAGGCAATTCTGCTCCTTGTCTTCTGGGGATTTGTAGAACATTTATCCCAATAATAACAATCATGAAAAATATTTATATGGTGATTTTTACTGAGTGCGATTCAAAGAGGCAACAGTTATAATTTAAATTTACAGCCCTTCAAGAAAGCAATCAGGAGATAAAGAAACTTAATGTGCCTAAATGGGGAAAGCGATCAGCGTTAAACACAGGGGTGGTTGTGACACAGCAATTAAATAGCAGGTAAACACTATGTTTAAAGAGCTCAAGAGCAGCCGCTGCCAGGCTAGGGAACACTGCATGAGGCTGTTGCTTTATCTCTTCTAAGATGTCCTTCACCAGAAGAATGGAATGAACAACTTACTGGTAGAGAGAAGTATAACTGAATTTCAGCTAAGGAAAAGAACAGCACACTACTAATGGAAACTTTTACTTGAGCTTACTTCACCTCATTCAAACTTACTTTTAACTTTACTAAATCAAGCCCTGATGCAGAATTGATGATCGTTTAGGCCAGGGCTATAATAAAGTAAGGTTGCCATTTATCCCCATTTCTCAGGGTAGCCCCTGTTTTGAGGAGTCAAACAAATGCCACATGTGATGTCCCAAGCTGGAGTAAATTTATATATAAAAAAAGACACCCCTTTACAATTTTTTCTTCTTATCCACTTGATACTTGAACAGATATACAGCAAACTGAAACGCAACTTCCAACTGTGTTCAGGTAAGCAAACACTAAACAACATTGCTGTGATGATTATTACTATTGTGCATTCAAATTGCTGCAGCTTTCTTTGATTGAACAGATGTACAGCAAAGGTACAGCTTTTTTGACTGAGTAGGCTTTCTTTGATTGCATAGATATGCCCCAAAGGTGCAGCTTCCTTGGCTGAGCAATTATACAGCTTCCCAGTTTGCTGTATATCTGTTCAAGTGGCATTAAAGCTTTTTTGGACCTAAAGAGAGAAAATGTGACTGAGGTGTAGCTTTCTTTGAATGATTGCAATATATTGGGGAAGGATGCCCCCCTCCAAGACAGGCATTGACCACTGAATTCTGAGGTACTTTCTACTGCTGCACCTCTCTGCCAATCTCTTCACTGGCTTCCAATAGCCGAACATAAAAAATTCCAAATACTAACCGCAATATATAAAGCCATCCACAACATTGTCCCCTGCTATATCATATGTGCAGATATCGCCCAAATCATCCTCTTCACTTCTCCCAAGACATCTTGCACTCTAGCTCACTTGATACCTCCTCTCACACTTGCCTCCAGGACTTTTCCAGAACCTCTCCCCAATTCTCTGGTACTCTCAACCCCAGTATGTTAGATCAGATCCTACCTTGTCTGCTTTTAGTTGATCCTCAAAAACTCATTTTAGCCTACCCCACCTCCACCTAAAAAAGCCATACACAAGTCACCTCCAACAGATCATCCCCTGCTGCTACTACCGTTTGTATCATCTCCCTTTAGATTGTAAGCTCCATGAGCAGGGCCCTCCTGAATTGAACTGTATTGTAATTATACTGACTGGTTTCTGTCAGAGAGAGAACTGTACACATGGGCTGAAAGTTGGCCGGTTCCTGCCAAATTGACTGTTTGGGGACAAATTTTGGTTCATGTGTAACCAGCTTTACCCCTCCTCCACCACCACCAGCATGGTGGATGAAATGCAAGCTTCTCACTGAAGCTAAAATGGTAGGATAACTTTATATTTTTATAGTGACATTTGTATTAATATATTTTACTAAGTTTTATTCAATCTTTTATTACTTTTTAACAGAACCTTGCTAGGTTTTCTCCATGAAAAAAAAAAAGCGTGCTGCACCCCGGCAATCTTTGTTCTCTTCCACATTGTTCATATGCATGTTCACTTCTGCCGGGTTGCCGACCTCTGACTTAGAGGGTGCCCTGATGTGGCCACCTGTGATATGCAGAGTGGCAGTTGGGTGCTGGGTGCTGGACTGCTAAGTTCCTGCACCTGGCACTGAATGAAGCCAAAAACTGTCAAGCTGAATGATCTCTGCCTGACAGTTGAACAATAGTCTCAGCCTGACTTGGAGAGATATCTCGGCACAAGAACGTATGTAAACACTAAACACCAATGCTGGAAGTTTATTATTATTGTTGTTGGCTATTGAACTAAGCTAATTGACATTTTCCTTTTTTTGACAAGCCTTTTAGTTTATTTGCATGCAAATTACTTAAAACATAATCATTTTTCTTCCTTCTTCTAGAATTTGTAGAGCTTGTAGGCTAGAATATGGCCTTGGCTTCTTTTTGCAATAGTACAAAAATGTTGGTGGGACTTTTAGGATGCTAATATAAATTATACCGTAGACAATATACAAAAAGGGATCTCAATAACCTTTATTATTGTTCTTTAAAAAACAACAATCACTGAATCCTTAAGGGGAATTCGATGCTAAACATAACTAATATTAAAAATGCTCTTGTGTAAAAAAAGTCTTTATATTTACCTAATTTCAGGCTGTTGTAGTTTGATCATGTGATCCAACTCTCCTGTATCAGCCAGCGGTGGCTCTAGGAGAGAGGAGGGAGCACCAACAAGAGATAGTTGGTAGTAACCAGGCCTGGACTGGCCATAGGGCACACCAGGCATTTGCCCGGTGGGCCGTGGCCGCCTGGAGAGGAGAGGGGGCTGGGCGGCACATAGAGGACCGTGCAGTTCTCAATTCCTCTATGTGCCGCCCAGCCACCTCTCCTATCCATCTCCTGCATGCGGTCGGCTCCTGTATGCTCCCCTTTGTGGCCGCCCCCTTCCCTCATCTCCTCCAGCAGACCCCCTCCTTATCTCCTCCAGTGGACCCCCCTCCATCTCCCTCAAGCGGCCCCCTCCTCCATCTCCTCCAGCACCCCCCTCATCTCCTCCAGCGGCCCCCCTCCTCCATCTCCTCCAGAGGCCCCCACCCTCATCTCCTCCAGTGGCCTCCCTCATCTCCTCCAGCTGCCCCCCTCCCTCATCTCCTCTAGTGGCCCCCTCCCTCATCTCCTCCAGCGGACCCCCCCTCATCTCATCCAGCACTGCGAGTGACCTGTCAGCATATGTCTTCTTTCTTTCTTTCCCTCTCTCTTTCCCGCTTTCCCTCTTTCTCTCTGTCTTTCCCTCTTTCTTTCTCTTTTTCTCTGTCTTTCTTTCCTTCCTTCTTTCCCTCTTTTTCTTTCTTTCTCGCCTACAAAAAAATTTAAAAAAATAATAAAATATAAAATTATGAAAAATTAAATAAAAATAAAAACCTACTGACACTACCTAACGGGAAAGGGTCCCCGGGCTTTGGGCTGTTCAGTCCATTTTTGTCCTACTCCAGGCCTGGTAGTAACCCTATCACTAGTAATGGGCTGGATGTTCGAGTTGCCCGCCGCACCCCACAATGCACTGTGCTCTTACCTAGA